TTCTAACAAAAAAATATATATGTGCATTGCATAGAAACTATCTTGAAATATTGCATGCATAAAAAATGGTACTCATTAGTTGATATATTCATGGCTTTTGCTTTATTAATGACTTTAGCATATCACCATGCCTTAAAAAAATTTCAAAAATATTATATATATTCAATGATAAATTTATGAGAAATTTTGTTGATATAAAAAGTTTTGTAACATACATAAGATTATATATAGAACCAAATAAACAAAACACTTGAAGAGAAGCACATGTTCAATATCATGCATGTCGCAGCAAGCCAAAACTAAAATTATCAAAATTTATAACAATATCCCGGTGATGAATATTTTGTTTTTCTCTATCAATTTACAAAGCTATTTCAATGCAAACTTATATTTAAATGACTTGGAATACCATTTGGACTGGTACAAAATGTAAGCTATATCGTCATATAAGCTAAATGTGATAATAAACTTCAAAATAAACATGTTACCACTACTTGACTAAAATGTATAATATAATTAAACAAAAAATATTTCAACAATAATATTGTAGAAGTTAATTTAACAAATAAAGAATCTCATAATGAAAATTTTGACTTTTTTTTTTGTTTTAAAAGGCTTAAAGTAGTTATTTTATAACAATCGTTTGTCTAAAGAACAATGATTTGTGATGCTAAGATTCATTTGACGAGAATAAGATCTCGTACTAAGCATATGGGGAGAAATTGTCCCCTAAAACTCCATATGAAGCTTACAATAAAGGGCTGCAAGATTAAAGATCAAAAGAAAATATCTACTATTATGAATAAATTCTCCATAGAATACTTACAATATAACACCAACTCATGATCCACAATAGTTAGTTAATGTTCTACTAAACTAGTACTAACAATTTTCTAATCTAAAATCATTGCACATATCTTCATAATTCATAAACCAAGTACCTTTGGCAAACACTATTTGACCTTCTTGCTCTAATATTAGGTCCAACTGAAGTTTTAAGATAATAAACCTATTACTAGTGATGAAAATAAATTTGAAAGGAAAAAAAAATATATGAAAGGTAATCGTGTGTTGTATTTCACTTTAGGTATGCACTTCAAGCAACACATGAATTGTGACTTCTACATAAAAATAAGTTTGAACATATATCCAACTAGACGCCACCCCATTGATTAGAAATGACTTCAATTGAAGATTTGAACGATAATCAACCTAATACTAGCTTTAAGGCTCAAATTTATAACCAAAAAAAAAAATTGCAAAATAATTATGCATTTAATTTTATATATGAGCTTACACCAAAAGTAATATTTGAAAATTTTGTACCAAAAAAGTTCCTAATAAAATCTTAAATATATGTGCATCTGCAAACACCTAAATCATTGAATCTATTAATTACACCCTTTAAGGTAATACACTTTAAGGTAATAGCCCATCAATATGATCTACCTACTTCCCCTTTATGAAATAAGTTATTAAATTTATTAGTTACTATTTAAAAACACTCATGAAATATATTTGATATTTAACATACATATTCTTCATCCTATAATCAAAAACTGCATCATAAGACCCAATCTCTCTCCTTTCAAACTCCTATGTCTCCCCTCTAAACCTTTATACTAAATTCCTGATGTAGCACACAAAAATAATAATTTAATGTAGATAAAAAGAGGTATATCATTGCAATGAAAGTAAATTTTCATCAGATGAGTGGAAAGTCACTTATCCCAAACTGCTGGGACTCAAGCACATATAACCATTAGGGAATTACTCACTCATACATTATATTTGGGAAAAACTAACCCAGACAATAGGATTCTCATACTCTCTCATCCTTAAGCTCTATCCTCCAAAAACCTTTCAAAGTACAACCATTTAAAGGCTTAAGAATAATATCTTTAGCCAACTAAATTAGTTCATTTGGGTAGTTGGTTGGAGATACAAGTAAGTAATATGTTTGGTTGGTTTGTGGTAAGTGATTGCTAAAAATACAATTATACCTATTTGATGCTTCATCTCTCTCCCATTCAACAATAAAACAGCCTAAGTTTTTTAACATTTTTTTTTAACTCGACGTTAAGTTTGATATTTGTGAAATACCTCCTCCATCATGGTTAATTAATACTTTGAAAAAAAACTTGAGTTAACATATAAAAAATAAGTAAATTTGAAATTGGATTAAAAGAGGGATTTTATTACCAGGAAAAATAAATTCCATGAAATAATTGATGATTCACTCATCCAAAACTATGTTGACTCCCTCATATATGGCAATCGGGGATTGCAAATTCAAATGGGACTCACTCACCCATTAGGTCAAAAAATCACTCTCTTATCCTTAAGCTATTGCCACTATAACCCTTCCAAGCCTAATCCTTTATTGGCTAAATATTGAATTCTTTGACAAATTAAATGAGCTAGTTGATTGGAGTAGTTCGTAGATGGAAGTATAAGTAAATGCAACAATTGATGTGTGGTTGGTGGAAATTTTGAAGTACAACTAATATCCAATAGATACATCAGCAACACCTAAATTTGTTTATCTCCATCGACCCGCTCCTATCACACTTTTACATTGCACGACACTGAAATAACATAAATCTATCTTAACCATATTCCATACGTCCTCCGCAAAAAAAAATACTTTGCTAGCATCAATTTCTCATGTTACATGACAATAACAACAACAACAAGACTTTAACCCACTAAATAGGGTCGGCTACATGAATCCTTTTTCTCCATTATGTCGTATTAAGTGTCATATTTTCATTTAATTCTAATAAAATACTATCATTTTTTATACATCCCCAAGTTTTTTTAGATCTACCTCTACCATTTTTTAACATAAGTTGAATCTAAAGCATTTACTCTCCTAACCAAATTATCAAGTTTGTTGATGTTTAATGTGACCAAACCATCTAAGATGATTCTCTTCAATCTTGCCTGCCGCTGGAGCTACACCAACCCTTTCACAGATACCTTTGTTTCGCATTTTGTCTCTAAGCGCCAAGCCACTCATCCGCCTAAGCATTCTCATCTCAACAAAACTTGGTTTTATACTTCTCTTTTAAAGGCCATATACTTCTCTTTTAAAGGCCAACAAGCTGCATCATAAAGCATTGTAGGTCTCACCACCATCTTATAAAAATTTCTTTTTAAATCTAACCGGTATTTTTCCATCACACAATAGGCCCGATGCATTCCTCCACTTCAACCATCCAAATTGAATTCTACTAATAACAACATCCCCATTCCCCATCTATGTCACCATCACTTTGAACAATAGAACCGAGGTATCTAAAATGTTCACACCTTTTAATGATTTAATCGTCCATTGTTACAACCTTACCAGATCTACTATTACTAAGACTATATTTCATGCATTCAGTATTAGATCTATTCAAATGAAGGCCATAAACTCTAATGTAGATCTCTATAATTCAAGTTTTCTTCTGAAATATTAGTATTATCAAAAAGAATGATATCATCAACGAAAAGCATACACCAAGATACATCCTCCTGTAAATGTCAAATAAAAGCATCCAAAATTAAAACAAAAAGATATGCGCTTAAAGTCGATCCCTGATGCAATCCAAATGAAATAGGAAAATACTTTGTCAATCCTTCTGTTCGAACACAAGTAACAGTTCTAATATACATTTCTGTAATGACTTAAACATAAGTCACATCAATATCTTTCTTTTCTATAACTCTCCAAAGAACTTCTCTTGGAACCTTATCGTAAGCTTTTTCTAAAATCATATGTGGATCCTCCTTACTCTCACAGTACTTCTCCATAAAACCTCTCAATAAATATATAGCTTCCATATTAAACTTTCTTAGCATAAATCCAAACTAATTATGAGAAATCTTTTTATCACGTCTTCAGCCATGTTCAATTACTCTCTCCCATAATTTTAATTTATGACACATTAACTCTATAATTTGCACATTCTTGTCCATCCCCTTTATTCTTAAAAATGAAAATCAAAATATTCTTTCTTCACTCCTCAGGCATCTTTTTAGTTATTAAAAAAATGAAAATCAAAATACACTTTCTTCACTCCTCAGGCATCTTTTTAGTTATTAAAATAATATTAAAAAGTTTAGTAAGCCAAAAAACTCATAAATCTCCTAAATATTTCCACACTTTTATTGATATCATCCGCTTCTACTAATTATCCACCATTGATTTTCTTTAAAGCCTCTTCATTTTACTAATGCGACAGTAAAAATAAAAAAATTTATTATTATTAATGATATTAAAATCACTAAGGTTGATCGTATTTTCAAAATTTTTATTGAAAAAATTATCAAAATATCTCACCCAACGATGTTGAATATCTTCCTTTAAGAAAAATACTTTTTGATTTTCATCTTTAATACATTTTACTTGAATTAAATCTTTATTATTCTTTTCTCAACCTACATGACAGATGATAAAAAAAGAAGTTAGCTGCAGATTATTTGTTGCCTTCCAATCCATAATTAGATCATAAAATGCTCCTCCATTAATCAAATTATAGATGCTACTTGTGATATTAACTAGATGATCAATCAAATCTAGCACCCCTAGTTTCAATGCATCAATCTATAACAATGTGTGATTGTTTCTAGTCCCGTGAGAATCTCAGAAGACCAAACCAGCCTATTTGAACAATTAAAAACTGACTTGCCGCACTTGCAAAAGGCAATTTAAAATCAATATTCCAAACTACAAAAAGAAAACCCTACTCTTCTCCAAATCATTCCAAAGCAGTATTTTTTTAAACGGTGATCAGCCAACTAACTAGTAGAAATCAAATGAGGAAAAACCTAAAAATAAGAAACCAAATCCTAAACCCTAAATTCCAGAATGTCACTTATCAGAAATCAACACAAAACAACTGGGGCGATCTCTTACAAAATGCATGATATCGATTTATTTTCAACGTCGGAAAAACAAAGAATTAAAAGCAAGGGTTAAATAAAAGACAAAATGGCAGAAGCGAACTCACCGCTGCTATCGGAAGGGCCATACTCCATTGATATATAACGTCAATAGCGCAAACCCTAGGAGGATCCACAGAAGACTTTCTTCAGCAGCTGCCGCTGGCGCACAGAGAGGAAGAACGAGAGGGCCTTCCCGCAATAAAAGCGTGTAACCGCAAAGAAACTAAAGAACAGCGACGCGCGAGAAAGCACTTTTGCAGATACCACCACTAAGATCTCAAACCGATAAAACGCCAGGTGCGATTTCGACGTACCGAGGGTTTCAAACGATCAATGGAGAAATTTCTCCAATGGAAGAAGGAACGCAGACTCGACAGAAAAAAGAAAGCCGATAGGCAAGCGAAGCGACGATAAAGAGTGAACTTATCCGTTATTTATAGGCATAAATTTTCGTCATCATTAAACTCCGTTCCTAATTCCGTGATCTTATTTCGGTAAATTGTCAAATCCAAACATTTTCATTTATTTTAGGTTTTTTTTTATTTCTTAATGATAAGTCAAGGAACTCATTTTATTGAAAAAAAAATTGTTGTAAAAATTAATCAAAAGTGTTTTCAAAATTAAGGTATAAATTTAAAATCTAAAAAAAAAAATCATATAGATATTGAATGTGAAAAAAACTTAGTTGTATCATCATTAAAGTCTCGTTTGTTATCACACATTGGATTTCGAATGTGATATATCCTAGCAATATGGGATGCGTTAAAAATGTGTATGTGCATGCGTGTGCTTGTGTGTGTATGTGGGCGTGTGTGTATAGTACTCACAAAAAAAAAAATTCATATAGAAATCATATAAATAAAAAGAGTAAGGGTGTGTTTAGGGCAGTTCTTCTCAGTTACAGCTTAGTTGTCCTAGGAAACTGCTGCAGGGAAACTACTACTGGGAAGTTGACAAAGTGTTTATTTCAGTTGCTTGAAAACAGCTTTGTGGCAGCTATTTCTGGACAAATTATAATTCCGCCCATGTAGTAATGATGTTTATAACATAACTTATTTTACGAAAAAAATAGTTATTTGTATTAAAAATATTGCATTTATTTTTTGTTTTGCAGTTTCAAATTGTATGTATTCATAATTCTTGCAACTAAACATACATTTCACCCTTTTCATGCATATTAGAAAAATAACTTCAAAAACTAACAAAGTTTAAAAATATGGACAGTAACAAAATTTCAGAATTTAAACCTTCAATATTTACTAACTTCATATTAGCGCTATAAGCAAACGAAACAAGATTAATAGCTTTCTGATTTGGAGAACTCCAGAGCAAAAATATAATAATTAAGATCATTAACAAGGTGTTTTGAAATCTAAAATCCATCAGCTAACAAACAATTTCTCCCATGTGATTCGAATTAAATAGATGGTAAAAACAAGCTCCTAATGATAAAAAATGACGACAAATAGGAGAAAGACAAACCTGAAGCTCCTCCTGGACTCGTCAATAAGAGGCCAAGATTCCTTCATTCTCCTCCTCTCCGTTTAGGTTCCGGTATAAGGAAAGGCGAAGCCTCGGAAGAAAGAGAAATACTACTGAGTCCAGAAACGACATCGAAGCCAGAGGTAAGATGATCGTTGAAGATGAATCCTCATCTGTTGCGAAGCTGGGGTAGGACTCATAGCGCTTGGAAGGTAGGCGGGGATCATAACACGCGTAAGTGTCATCGTCGTCAAAGGAACAAGCGTGTAACTTATAGGAGGAGAAACGCGGGTTGCAGGGTCAAACCACTGGCCCACGTTTTGTTTAATTGTGGCAGCGCCGCGGCAAAAACTCAACCCAAAACAAGGTCGATTCCCAAGAGGGAAACGCACCGCGACAAAAACTCAGCCCCAAACGAGCTCTAATAAGAAAATATTAAATTTATTTTATTTTATAACAAAAAATCAGTTAACATACAATCTGAAGGAATAATATAGTACTAATTCCGAGGAAATAAAAATGCAAACAAATAAAAAAGCTATCCAAACCAAAAAAGATGTTGGATACTTCTAAGACGTAGGGTCATGTATCATTTGTGAGTACATATAACTCGGTAAAGATCTTGTATTTGTGAAAGAGAGGTAGAGCAAAGAGTTGTATTTGAGTTTCGAAGGTATCAAGAATTGTGTATTGAGCTTGAACCTCTGGCAAGCTGAAAAAAATGAATTAAAAAATTGAATGCAAATGAATAGTGTTTGAGATATCGAGAGAAAGAGAGAGAGAGAGAGAGACTTAGACCTCCTCTCCTCTTGACTTCCCTTCTATAAAAAAAGAGTTAAAAAATTGAAAATACATTTAGTACAGTATGTCACCCATCCCTGATGTCTTGATGAAAAGACAATAAAGTAGATGTTAAGCGGCACCTTTTAAGAAGGATGAATCTACCTCTTTGATAATGACGATGACATTCCCTAGCAGTTGTCCCTCCCTATAAGTCACCTCATTCAGAGAAATGAAATTCATCCACTTCGGCGGGTGGGCTTGATTTAGCCACTTCGATATGTGGGCATGATTAAGTCACTTTAATAAGTGCTCTTGATTCAGTCAATTCCACAGGTGAACTTGATTCAACCACTTTAGTAAGTGGGTCTGATTCAGGTGCTTCGATAGGTGGACTCGATTTTAACACCTTAATTTTCATGTTAGAATAGTCATAGAAAGTTTATATTTAGGTTCCTTGATTTTCTTAACTCTTCAATCAGGTTTTGTAATAAGAATGAAATAAATGTCTTTTAACTTTCTATAGTTGTGTGAGCCAATGGCTTCCTTTGAGCCTAATAACTTAGAATAGAGAACTTTGAGATGAGAATCGAGAATGTACCTTTTGACCTGGGGGCACATTGACTTTTCTTATGAGGAATTAGATTGTTCCTACTCATCAATGAACCAAGGCTGACCTTCATTTCGGAGCACTTTGTGATAGGAAGTAGTGTCTTGAATTAATTTATTGAGAAAGATCCATTTCATCCCCATAAGCCTTGACTCTCTTATAGGAAAGGGTTACTCTAATTCTTTAGTTTAGACTGTTCAAATCTATTGAATACAAAATCCATGAATAAAGTGATTCAACAAGATTGATTCGATTGATGAAGTTGTATTGGATTAAGAGATGTATTTGGGAGTTTTGTTGTGATGTTCAACCTACCCAAAAAAGAAAGTTCAAAATAAGTTGGGAGTCATGAATAACATTAATTACAGTAGTTATTAAATTATTAAGAGTATACTCCTTTGAGGGTTAAGTAGTGTTATAAGAGAATTGTGGGCTCTACTTTTTTAGTGAGGAGAGTGCTTACAGTTAGTAAGTAAGAGTCATTCATTTGATAATTTTGTTTTTCATGATCAGCAAGATTGCATTGATTCAAATTAAGGTTTTGTGATTCCATCTTGATGAGAACCTCCACAGCAGAAAACAATTAGCTAGTTTGAGCTTAGAAAAAGAATCTAAAATAAAAGCGAGCTTTTTGAGATATAAGATGTTATGGTGAAGGGTCCTTCTTCAGGTTCTTTTGTCAAAGTCATAGGTTCTTTGGATCCACCCATGGAGGGCATACAAAGAATTGATCTAATAGATGTGGTAACAATGCCTCTCTTTGAGTCTCATTCATCGAAGAAGATTTCTCTTTATTTGAATAATCTGAAGGAAAGTCAAATTCATAATGTGGTCAAGGAACCAGGGGATCTCGATATGGTCGTTTTTTTTTTAGCCTGACTCTACTGGTGTGGATGTTACAGTTTACCTTTCTAGGCTTTTGAACCATTGATTACATGGTAAAACCATAATTTTGGTACGAAAAAATGTAGTTAACATGGATGAGAAATAATTTGCTTTGATGGCTACTCGTGGAGAGCTTCTATCAACAGGGAGAGATTTTCATAGGACTTGTGCTATAAAGGGAAAAATTAAACTAGGAAGATACTAGTTCACCTTTGAAAGGTAATGTAGTGATATTTCATCAGTCTAAGAACTCTCTCCTTGTAGAATTTGATATCATGTTGCTTTCATCAAACTATGAAAGATCCTTGAATGGGTGATACTTAAGTTAGAATTATGTCTGAAGATGTCGGTTTTGTCTATTTCTTGTGGCTAAAGAGGAGGTGGATCTAGTTGCGAGAGAGACTCCTACTTTGACAGAAGGGATTTTGTTGTGTTTAGGTCATGTGACCAATTTGACCTCTTATTTGGAAGACAGTGATAGTTTGATGGACTACCTAGCCTTAGTGGAAGGTGCACCGTGGACATGCGAGGGCGTATCACCGATCTGGAAACCAAGGAATTAGTTACTCATTTGAAGACCGGAGGGTAGATGGCTGAGTTCAAAGAGGAAATTGTTGAAATATGCCAAAGGCTTAAGACCAAAAAGGCTAAAATGTCTATACCTTGATCAATTTTATGGTCGGTGGTTGGTTAGTACTTCGACGTGTTCTTTGATCGAGAATCATCAATGTAGAGGATGTTAAGAATTTTTTTTTTTGTAATTATAAATGTATTCAATGATTCAGTTGTGACTCCATTTGTGTATCCAGCTTTGCCTTTTATGAAGCTCTAAGTCTTTTTGAATGAAATGGTTTGTTCTAGTTGCTGCCTTAAACCACTTTTTTGTGTTTGAGTGTGTTTTATTGACCCTTTAATATACTTGATACTTTATAATTCTGTTGAAGTCCGAACCCATTGGACTTTCTATTATGCACACTGAGGTCGGACGGTTGCATTTATATACTTTATAAGGTGAAAGGATAGATCTATTCTACTTTTTTGTGCCTTCTCTTTGATCGCAATCCTTGTTTTAGGTGATCCTTCTTGATGATGATATCTGATTAAGTGAAGAGAAGCTCATCCTTCTTATCGATGAGACATTACAAGGGTTTACAAGTGGACAACGAGCTGTTAATAAAGGCTTACTCCAAGTTTGTTTTAACAATATAATGATCTTGAGACTTATGAGATGCAGGAGATTACTCATAGCATTCATGAGCACTGATTTTTATAAACTATGAGCAATTTTAGCCATTTTGTCGTTCCCTATGTGCACCAAACTAGTTGATATCTGACCAGAGGAAAATATGTTGAGATTTTTATTCCTATTTTATACTATTTTTAATGATATTGCACTTTAAAGTAAAGTATTCTTGCTGTTTTATTACAAGAATGATGAATTAGGGTCATTGGAGCAAAAAGATGCAAAAAGGAGCGAATTTGGAGCGAAAATGACCAAAATGTGAAGATTTGAACTAAAGCGCAGACGACGCCCTCGACGCCGCTGACGGCGAGTTTTTCTCGAGGCTACAGGACAAAATTCTCTAGAAGTCCGCCAACGGCGCCCTCGAGGCCGCTGATAGTGAGCTCGGCTGG